GGGGGCGGCGGCCCCCAGGAGCCCCCGAGAAAAGACCCGTCTGAGAGCGAGGCGGCCGGCAGCCTCGTCCTGGACGAGGGACTGGCGGGGGCTGCCTGGAACAGGCGCACGAAGGGCGCGTCAGGCCACACAAGTGACTCCCCAGTGCAGCTCCGGGGCTCGCGGGCCCAGAGTGTCCGGTCCACGGTTCTGCCCAGACTAGCCAGGCCACAGCGCGTCCCGTGGCGCGGCACCGGCCAGCGCTGCAGGCGGAGGCCACGGCCCGGACGGCACACCCAGCAGCGGCCGAGGCGCGGGGCCGCCCACCCACCCAAACCCCCTGCGCCCAGGCTGCTGCTCCAGACCCCGCGGCAGGAAGCCGGGGAACCCCCACCAACTCCTTCCGGCCTGTGCCTGGCAGGCGGGGGTGGCGGCAGGAAATGCCAACCTCATGTGCCAGGCGGGGAGAGCCCCAGACTTCAGGGGACACCCCGGCCCTGGGGACGGGCGGCGTGCGGGGAGGGGAGGGGGCCCCGGGGGGCCGGGAGCTCAGGAGCGGCGTTGAGGTCTTCGGGGGTGGGGGCCGGCTGGGCCAGCACCGGACACTCCGCGCCCTGCTGAGGACCTCGGGAACTGAAACCCGAGGGGGGCAGCAGGCGCTTCCTGGGAGGGAACCCCCACCCCGTCTGGAAGAGCTGCTCACCCTGCCACCTGCGGGAGACAGAAGTGGTGGCTTGGCAGGGGCTGTAGGCGCCTCGGGGTTGGGAGCAGAAGGGGGGCGTGCAGCACCCCAGCCCCCACCGGAAGGGGGTTCTCAGGGGCTGGGGGCGGGCAGGCAGGGAGGGGCTGGTCATGGGGCGCACAGGCCCTGGCCACCCTGGGCTCCAGGCTCCCCAGCCCTGACGGAGGGGCTGGCCCAGCCGGGGCCTGGGCCGAGCTCAGTGACCCCTGGACCCGGTGGCCTGAGTTGGGGGGCGGGGGGGCCGTAAGCCCCACGGGTCAGCTCTCGGGCGCCACCTGCCCCCCAGCCCTGGGGACACGGTGTCGCCTTACGGCTCAATGGCTCCGGCTGAAATTTCAGCTCCTCTGGGGTCACTCTGCCCTCTCCCCGGCCAGTGGCCCCAGCCGCAAATCTCAGCCCCCGCCAGGTAGGCGCCGGAGGTCAGCCGGGCCCTCGGTGGC